TGAACAGATTCACCATGGAGAGGTGGGGAAGATAAATCTGTAAATTAAATTTGCATTGAAGGATGTTAACAAAGCAAGGGGTGTAATTTTTCCTCCTCTTGTCTTCCAGGTATAGAGCTATTGTTAAATACAAAACTGCCTTTTACTCATTTTACCTCCCAGTGGCAGCTGCAATGTACATGGTGAGTGTTTTTAAAATGTTTCACCCATGACAGAAGGATCTAATAGGCATGACTGGGATGAGATAACGTTGGAAGTTTACGAGAACTTGTCTGAAAATAAGCTTTTGTACCTCACTTTTATAGGCTGGAATCAAGAGTGAAGAGGAACACAATAACGCAAAACACATCTTGCTTGAGATGGGAGAGTTCTTTCAAATTCAGGTAATGTATTTTTATGTCATCCTGTTGCTAAGGCACATAATAAATAATATGCCGCCGACTTCACAGAGTTAATAACAACCAGATGCATGTTGCTTGCAGGATGACTATCTGGACTGTTATGGAGACCCCGCTGTGACAGGAAAGATCGGTACAGACATCCAGGATAACAAATGTAGCTGGCTGGTTGTGAAAGCTCTGGAAGTTATGAACCCTGAACAGAGAGCAGAGCTGGAGGTGAGACTTTATATGACAACCCTTTTGTTATTTGAACACATATGAACTTGTGTTTCTTGGCCACAAACATGCCCAGATCTTCTGTTTTGCACTTGAATGTACAGGTTTCCATCACAGCTTCCTTGCATTTCTCTAAAAACTTTGTTGACAACCAGGCTTTTCTCTAGATCATACTCCCTCCCTCGCCTGCAATTGGCATAAAGAAAAGCGTGATCATCACTTTAAATGCAGGAATAGCTCACTGATATATAGAAATAATTGTGTGGACTTTTCAAATTATTGTTCATGGTTATACATTATGACAAGAGAAATGCAGCTGTGAATTTCTTTTCATACCATCATTTAAAAAAAAAAATTATTGTTCAAGGAGTTTATTAGAATGAGATGCAGGAAGTGTCATTTTGTCACAGATATTTCATACTTTGTATATTTTCTTTCGCTAAGACATCATTCAATTAAGACACAAAGTCCCTGGCGATGCAGGGACTTTGTGTGCGATGCAGATGATTTTGATAATTTGTTTCTTAATAATAGGTTTCCTTCTACTCTTCAGTGTGTGTTATGCCGAGGTACTTTATTTGGTGCAAAACTTGATTTCATCTTCATCATCTCCTCCTCAGACATGTTACGGACGTCATGATGATGCAAGTGTTCAAAAGGTCAAAGCGCTCTACGACACACTGGAGATGCCAACACTGTACAACAAATATGAAGATCAGAGCTACCAGCGGCTACAGGAACTAATCGCATGTCACGCTCAAAATCTCCCTCACTCTGTCTTCCTCAACTTCGCCAAGAAGATCTACAAAAGGAACAAGTGAGAGGGAATGGATCCATTAACACTGTAAGGTGCATGAGCCAGGTTATCATGCAACTCCAATTATGGCATAAAGCGTGACTCCTTTCCTTTTCCAGAGAAACAGGCTCTGAGGCCCACGAGCATGAGCTGAAGAGGACTGTGATGTGTAAAAATCTGCTGGAGGTTTATGAACTGCATAAATTTTGTAGATATTTGGTTGTAAATTACTTAAAGCTGCCCCTTTCTTTTGCCTCATTTTGTTGCTTTATTTAAGAATAACATTGCAATGAATCATGGACAGGCTAAGCTTTCAATTGCAGGATTAAGGTATATGTCAAATAAGGTTAGATGGCCAGAGTAGTTTTGAATATGTAGAAAAAGCGATCATTGATTAGGTGTTCAGATGAAAACTGAATTCATGACAGTTTGTATCCTGACCAAGAAAAAGGGTCAAAACTGATCCGCTCTATAGTTTTATATATTTTTACATGGCTGCTGTAAAGTCTGTACTGGCTTGGATGTTATGTTTTTAATAAATAATATATAGACAGTATTTTTCTCATATTTTTTAGCAAAAGCAATTCTCTGAGTGAAACTTTGACCAATTATAAACAGTTTACTTTAAATCAGAGAATTGCTTTTGCTAAAAAATATGAGAAAAATACTGTCTATATATTATTTATTAAAAACATAACATCCAAGCCAGTACAGACTTTACAGCAGCCATGTAAAAATATATAAAACTATAGAGCGGATCAGTTTTGACCCTTTTTCTTGGTCAGGATACAAACTGTCATGAATTCAGTTTTCATCTGAACACCTAATCAATGATCGCTTTTTCTACATATTCAAAACTACTCTGGCCATCTAACCTTATTTGACATATACCTTAATCCTGCAATTGAAAGCTTAGCCTGTCCATGATTCATTGCAATGTTATTCTTAAATAAAGCAACAAAATGAGGCAAAAGAAAGGGGCAGCTTTAAGTAATTTACAACCAAATATCTACAAAATTTATGCAGTTCATAAACCTCCAGCAGATTTTTACACATCACAGTCCTCTTCAGCTCATGCTCGTGGGCCTCAGAGCCTGTTTCTCTGGAAAAGGAAAGGAGTCACGCTTTATGCCATAATTGGAGTTGCATGATAACCTGGCTCATGCACCTTACAGTGTTAATGGATCCATTCCCTCTCACTTGTTCCTTTTGTAGATCTTCTTGGCGAAGTTGAGGAAGACAGAGTGAGGGAGATTTTGAGCGTGACATGCGATTAGTTCCTGTAGCCGCTGGTAGCTCTGATCTTCATATTTGTTGTACAGTGTTGGCATCTCCAGTGTGTCGTAGAGCGCTTTGACCTTTTGAACACTTGCATCATCATGACGTCCGTAACATGTCTGAGGAGGAGATGATGAAGATGAAATCAAGTTTTGCACCAAATAAAGTACCTCGGCATAACACACACTGAAGAGTAGAAGGAAACCTATTATTAAGAAACAAATTATCAAAATCATCTGCATCGCACACAAAGTCCCTGCATCGCCAGGGACTTTGTGTCTTAATTGAATGATGTCTTAGCGAAAGAAAATATACAAAGTATGAAATATCTGTGACAAAATGACACTTCCTGCATCTCATTCTAATAAACTCCTTGAACAATAATTTTTTTTTTAAATGATGGTATGAAAGAAATTCACAGCTGCATTTCTCTTGTCATAATGTATAACCATGAACAATAATTTGAAAAGTCACACAATTATTTCTATATATCAGTGAGCTATTCCTGCATTTAAAGTGATGATCACGCTTTTCTTTATGCCAATTGCAGGCGAGGGAGGGAGTATGATCTAGAGAAAAGCCTGGTTGTCAACAAAGTTTTTAGAGAAATGCAAGGAAGCTGTGATGGAAACCTGTACATTCAAGTGCAAAACAGAAGATCTGGGCATGTTTGTGGCCAAGAAACACAAGTTCATATGTGTTCAAATAACAAAAGGGTTGTCATATAAAGTCTCACCTCCAGCTCTGCTCTCTGTTCAGGGTTCATAACTTCCAGAGCTTTCACAACCAGCCAGCTACATTTGTTATCCTGGATGTCTGTACCGATCTTTCCTGTCACAGCGGGGTCTCCATAACAGTCCAGATAGTCATCCTGCAAGCAACATGCATCTGGTTGTTATTAACTCTGTGAAGTCGGCGGCATATTATTTATTATGTGCCTTAGCAACAGGATGACATAAAAATACATTACCTGAATTTGAAAGAACTCTCCCATCTCAAGCAAGATGTGTTTTGCGTTATTGTGTTCCTCTTCACTCTTGATTCCAGCCTATAAAAGTGAGGTACAAAAGCTTATTTTCAGACAAGTTCTCGTAAACTTCCAACGTTATCTCATCCCAGTCATGCCTATTAGATCCTTCTGTCATGGGTGAAACATTTTAAAAACACTCACCATGTACATTGCAGCTGCCACTGGGAGGTAAAATGAGTAAAAGGCAGTTTTGTATTTAACAATAGCTCTATACCTGGAAGACAAGAGGAGGAAAAATTACACCCCTTGCTTTGTTAACATCCTTCAA